AGCGCACTCCTACGCAGAGCTGCCTCTACGCCTGTGCATCACAGGACTGGAAAACAGCTCTGCACAAGTGCCTGAAACTGTGTGAAACTGGAAGATCCCTGAACAAAACATCACAGTCACATCACAATAACCATCATATAAGTTACTTAGTGATGGAGGAAAGGAAGGTAACTTGGTCAACTTGAGTAAAATACCGTGCATTTAACTTGTTTGAGTTTTGGGTTAAATGATTGGTATGAACTAACCGCACATATATAGAATGCAGTCAGAATATATGGATGAATGAAATCTTTATTTTGAACATTTAAGTATCAAATATTAATAACTGAAAGAAACTCACACAAGAACAAAATAAAAGACAAGTATTATATTATTGTGATGAAACCCCATTGACTGAAATCCCCCAAATATCTACCATTTCCTGTTCACTTCCTTTCCCCCTATTTAATTTATCATATATTTGTGTTCCTGATTATATAGCCTAATATTTACATATGCACTAGCTATAAATACATACACATATCTAAACACAGTCTCTTTCTACATGAATATATACATATTCATGCTGTGATCCATGATTATATATCTGCACCTATCTAAAAATATAGTTTTTTATATACAATTACCCATAATAGTTTTACAATGCAGCCATTATATCAAACTGCAGTCAGAATATCCAGTCAGTGTCACAACATAGAATTTAATATTTAACACATTGCTTCATCCACATAATGCTTTATATTTTTATAACCCTTCTTCTCTTCTAAAATATTAAATATTAAGTAAGGCAGTTTGTTTACAAAATAAACATTTATTATTTGCATCTAGATGGCAGACATGGTCTGAAAAGTCTGCCGAGAAATCTGAAAACTTGATTGTGGAAAAGTGTGACATTTTGAAACATGTAGAAACACTGCTCATAGGAAACTGATTAACTGACCCTTTGCCAAAGCAGTATGTGCCAATGCTGTCCTTTTACGAGATTGAAAACACAGTTGGAGTTCATGTCATCCAAACATAAGAGAATATCTGAGACGTATGAATCAAGTCTTTCGGTGTTGATTGGACACCAGCAGGTACAGTGATATGTGGCATGGAGCTGCAAATCACTCTTGCCTCAGCATAAACAGTCCTTAATCAGACACCAACTGTCACACTGAAGTTCTTCTCTACGTACCTGCAGCCACCCACAAATTTGTTGTAAGGCATGAAAATTGTTTGACATTGCTTTAAACACTAATGCGTGAACACTTCTATATATACACTACAGCAGGGGTCCCCAATCCCAGTCCACGAGGGCCGGTGTCCCTGCAGGTTTTAGATGTGTCCTTGATCCATCACAGCTGATTTAAATGGATAAATTACCTTCTCATCATGTCTTGAAGTTCTCCAGAGGCCTGGTAATGAACTAATCATGTGATTCTGGTGTGTTGACCCAGGGTGAGATCTAAAACCTGCAGGGACACCGACCCTCGTGGACTGAGATTTTTGTGTTTGTTTGACAGCCACTCTGGTTGTAAACAGTAATGCACTGCCTTGTGGAGAGACTGGAAAAGATTACTGTGCAACATTGCCAATAAATGGCTGACACTAACATAAATGTTTGACCTTTACGAAGTTGAAAGGAAGTGATATCTTGATGCGCTTGTGTGCTATTAAATTATGCAGGACATTTCAGAATAAACTTCTCTATATCAGTCTGGTCTGCCGATTCAGTAAGTGAATAATGAATGAGGGGCGCCTCCAGAAGGAAATGTGTCCTATACCACGTAGGGTTCGTGCTTTCCTCGGACAAATGCATTGATTTGTCGCCCCTGTAGGCCTCCGACAAGACTACGCCTCTACCTCAGCCACAGCCACGGCCAGCCGTCGCAGCTCCAGCTTCTCCTTGCACACCCTCAGGCGCAGTCAGATGGATCTCGAGGAGGAGGACGAGGAGGACGAGGGTTACGACCAGCTCCCACCTCCCCAGCCTCGACTGTTCCGCACAGGCTCTATGCAGCGGGGCAGCCTGCCCCACTCTCACACCTTCTCCAGTTTCAGAGACTGCAGACGCAGCTCAACCACCCATCAGTTTTCACTCAGTGGACACTCCCAGTACTCTGGACCCTCTAGCCTGATCACAGAGACACAAACAGCATACACAAATAGCACAGGTGAGTGACCTGATCTGATCTGGGAACATGTCTGATAGAGGACTGTTAAAAACTCAGGGATCAGTCAGTATCTTTGGACTTCCAGTAGACCACACTTCTTGTTCTATCAGCATGTCAATCTTTATAAATGCTGAAGAGATTTTAAAATCTGATATGTTAATCAGGTGATAGCTAAGTGTTTCAAGATTGCATTTCAGCAAATGCAATCATTTTGCTCTTCACACACTGTTTATCTGCATGCAACCAAGGCCCGCTCAGATGTAATTAGACTAAAAGAGGAATGCAAACAGAAAGCTATTAAAGCACAGTTGTCCCTTCTCTACAGATTGCGTGTCTTTATATGCAGATATCAGTCTATAGAGATGACTGCATGACTGTCTAAGACTGATACTGCTGTTACTTTAAGGAGCAAGTATTAGACTTTCCCCCTCTTTAAAGTCCTAAGTTCAATTAAGTCAGTATAGATAAAAGAATAGTGCAACATTTTGAGTGGACCACAAGAAAAGATTCATTCATTAATGGATATGACGTGTCATTCTGCTTAAATTTAAAGTGTAAAACTAAGATGTGTTTCTACAGGAGAAAATGCTATGTATTAAATATTTGCTAAAAGCGCTTATTTTCATATTCACCAAAATGTCCCCTAAAAAATCCTAAAACTTTGAAAAGCCAAAAAAAAAAAATGCTAACTGGGCACCTGCAATACCTAATCAGCTTTGTTGATGTTGTTGCATAGACAAGCTGCGAAGAAGCATGCCCAACCTGATCCGAGCTCCCAGCATGCCTAGTGTCCCCAGCATTCCATGCCTGGCTTCCCCTGTCAACCCACCCTCCCACGGTCCCTCCTCTTTGCCAACGATGCCCTCCCTCCGGAACAGCCAGAGCTTTGACTCATCGAGTGGGCTTGCACGACTTCAATCCTCCAGTAAGACGCTTGTTTTTATGTGTGCGAATGATCAAAGAAAGGAAAAAATCACTTTTATAAACTGTTAACGCTCAGCCTAATGATGACAACTTAAAATCTAGGGCTTGCAGTGACACTTTTGCTTCACAATATTCCTTCAGTTCCTTCCCCAGGCCAGCTCAGTCAGCGAGTCCAGAGTGTCGGGAGTTTCCCTACAACAGCGCGACACACTCTAAAAGCGACAGCCTACGTAAGCCCCACAGTCCAGCAGGGACCCACCTCCACCTCTCTGTCCACCTCTGCCAGTCTGAACTCCATCTCCAGCAGTGCCGCGCTGCCTCAACCCCTCAAACCCAGCAGCAGCATTAGTTTGCTGCCACAGGCCCTCAAACCCACCAGCACCAACCAGTCAGCTGTCCCCCGCAGTTCCCTCCCTCGGCCAGCCTCCTTCATAGGAACAAGTGGCGTTCCACGTCCCAGTAAAATCACCCAACCCACGCGCAGGTAAGCACACATATGCTAACTCCTTTGGGTTTAAAGGAGAACTACAACAACATGAGTACTGACGAGCATGTGCAAAAAGGCACTTGATAACTTCAAATTTAGACCTGATGAGAAGGTTATCTCAGGGGATCACCAGAGGTGGTAAAATTCATCCTCTGATGACAGTAAAAAAATAATTTTCTGAGCCATGAATTGGTTAATCAATTGAAGTATATGATGACAAACCTGGTCAGACTATTAGTGTTTTCAGCATGTGGCTGAGTGTAGCAATCTTTAGGTGTGGCATCGGTGGTTCAATGGTAGAATTCTCACCTACCACACTGGATTCACAGGTCTGATTCCTGAAACTTTTAAAAGAAACAGACAAGATTCTTTGTGGGATGATGGATCTTTTTATTTATCTTTGATTAACTTATATGCTTATATAATATTGGGGTTTTTTCTGTCTGCAGTTTGCTTACTCCTCCAAAGAGCCTGGCTGCTCTGAGTGCCCTGAGGGACGGCAGCTGGAAAGATGGCTGCTACTGAACCCAAATAAGCTGAAATTTGAGAGGTGCACAGGGTATCGCTGTGTAGGCACCAGCTGATTTAAAATGTCTCTTTCAGCAGGTCTCTAGACTTGGGCTGCGACCTGTGAGAGTGACAGATATCATGAATATAAGCACTACTCCTTGCTGAAGGACAAAGTGAGGACTGTTGAGCGTGCAGGTCCAGCAGGCTGGATCTTAACCTTGACTTGACACACCATGAAACAACCAGGCAATACTCTGATAATCAGCTGTTAAATGTGAAACAGATCCTCTCTGATATGTGTTTCTTGGTTTGTCGCTGTTAATTCTTGCATTGAGCAGAATAAACGTCTCTCTCCAACCGAAAGCTTAGAAAAATATATCCCATGCTTTTGTACATGCTTTTAATGATTTCATATGATTAGTTTCGGAAGTACTATTTTTTTCAGGCTGTGGTGTCAGATATGAAGTTGAACCTGAAGTTGGAATTTTGTTACTTCCCGTGCCTGTAAAAAAAAAAAAAGTGAAAAAGAAGAAGAAGTAATGTAATTTATGTTAGTTATACTTATTGGCTGGACCTTGCAGCACTTTGGATCAGAATTCTGATTAACACATTCAGTATTAGATCCATTAATGACCTTGTACACACTTTTATCTTTTGTTTAGTTTCTTTTTATTTAATGTTTACATTCAACTCCGAAATGTTCTTTGATAAGCGTAACTGCTGCAGTGATATTGCACAAGGAGCCCTCATGCTTTTAATGGATGGCAAGAAATTAAAGACGAAGTGAATTTTTAAAGTGAATAAAAGCATTTCAAAACGTTTTTTCATTCTTCTTCATTAAAATTGTTTGTAAAGAATCGAGGGGGAAAATAGGTAAATTGCAAAAGGGGAAAGGGATTGGAGCCAGTGATGAGCTGCGGAAACCCTACCAGGAGCATGTTGCCCACGAAGGCATAACTATAGGCTCTCTAGGACACAGAAACGCCTCAATTCTTTTTGTTTTTATGTCTGAACGCCTCCAGTTGTTTTGAGCATCTCCCACTAGTACGAGATGCCTGAGAAGACCAAGGAAATTATGTCTCCTGGCTGGTTTGGGAACAGGTGGCTGGGAACTTAGACTTCTGCCCCCCATGACCTGGCCATCGAAAAGTTGCGAAGGGATGGATGAATGGGGAGTTGTAGCTCTACTTACTGCAGTTCAAACTCTATGCCTTCTTTAACTCAGATATGACTCAGCTTAAAAGCATTTGGAGTAATGGCGGTCTAAGGGTGAAACCATATTCCTGTATTCTTCCCTAGTAAAAATACAATACTAAACCAAGTTCAGTCCTATATTCCTTCAAGTGTAAAGTATATCTGAATGCTAATATCGCTGATATTATGGAAGCTACTGCTCAAAAAATAAATGTAGAATTCAGTTTTAGCACATTACAGTTAGGGGGTTTTGAGGTTTTGGAAGATTCACTGTGGCAGCTGTTAGTGTCACAAGGTGGTCACAAAGTGACTAATGTTTAACAAGTGAGTATGTTGATTTTAAATCTCCAGAGTAACACTCAAACACGCTCTACATTAACATACTGTACCTCAGGGAAGGTGGCTAAAATATCTTATCTTTTATCTTTTGCGCAAAATCATTAAACCAGACCTGAAGACAGATATTGAGTGCACAGTGCTGACCTTTTGGAGTTTTTGATAATGCCCAACAAAGCCCAGGAGGTATGTCTAATCTGCTTTCTTCTGCACTTTTGCGCAGATCATTTATACTAGATTGTTTTTCTCAAAGGAATCCCCCTCCCCTCTTTTTTATTTTTTTTGCTTACAGGATGCTGTGATCAATCTAAAGACGCTGCAGGAGATTTCCAGGCAGCTTGGTTTTGAGTGGACAGTTTTGGCATATGAGCTTGGCTTCAACAGAACTGAGATAGGACGCTTCCACGCCAGCTCTACAGAGAAGAGTGTCCAGGCCAAGGCCATGCTGGAAAGCTGGTAAAGTCTGTGTGTATACTTTTGAAAGTAGCATGTGCTTTGTTTAGAAACTGGTGTTTCTAAATCAAAAGGCAACATCTGATTATCTTAGCAGTGTTTAGTCCAATTTTATACGTCATCTGAAATCATTGTAGTCTTAAGAAATTGAAGCAGATGCCCAGCAATCTCATGTGAGAAACTTAAATAACTTATTTGTGTTTTACCATGGTCACTTGGGCTCTTTAGACACTCTGTCACTTTTATACAGTTCTTTTTTTTTTTGGCTTTTTATACATCAGTGAATTTCTCTTCTTTCCATGAAATACTTTTTAGAGGTCCCTCTTTATTCGCAGGTACGAGAAGTCATGGGACAAGCCAAATAAGACCAAGCTGCTGCAAGACGGACTGGAACGAGCTGGCAGACGGGACCTGGCTGAGAGACTGCATTGCCTTCACTGGGGTCACCAGAAACTGAGTCAAAGGGTGGAGCTTCCCTCTGCCTTCCCCTTCCTCATCACAGTCCACAGGACCATCGACAACCGAGACGCACTACGTAAAATCAACGACCTAAGTCGTAGATTCACTTAAACCTGGGTGAAAACGCAAGTAGCTGTGGCTATGTCTGTAATTTGTGTTCTACATGTGCATATGTGATACTGCAAAGAAACAAATGGACTCAGAGTCAATTAACCAACAAATCATGATATATGCTACTTTTTGTAGTGCAAGAAATTAAAGCTTTGCAATAAGGATAAAGGCTGTCTTTGGAATCCTAAATAAACTTTTGATTTTAAAAAGTTTATTTATTTTAATTGATGTACAAACGACAAAGGTCAAGACAGTTTATGTGGATCAACTGTGTATATATGTTGTTATAGTTGGCTACAAAGAGCACAGGTGTAAATGGAAAAGTCTGCAGTAAGGTATGGCTGATGGGACCATTTTAAGGAGAGATAATTATTGGTGGATATGTATACTGCATTTAAACAAACATCTGACCATAAAGGGCCAGTATGCACATGTGGCTGAATGATGCATATACTAAACTGCAGTGCAAGGGACATGATTTTTTAATGATGGTATGAATCCATATATTTCATATTTTTTATGCATAGTGTCTGGCTGTCACATATACCACAGAGAAGAAGCTCTAATGTGTTACAGCAAATCAAATAAATAGCCCATGCCAGACTATAGAGACTTCAGTATTAATCATAAATGGGGTTTGGGGAGTTATTAAGCATTAAATTAAAATATTATAGTTTTATAGTGGCAATATGTGCTGGACAACTATCTAACTGAGAGCAGGGACTCATAAAACACATTTATTGATTCACGCTGAGAGTTGGATGAAAGGATGACACCACAGATGATGATACCGCCTTCACCTCAGCTTAATAATCTATTATCTATTTTTATAATTTAGTTTACTAAACTTCTATTAGTTAGTTTATTATTATCTGAGGACAAAATGTAAAATTTGACTGTAAAAGGATTACATTAATAATTTTGCTTAAAGGCAGTAAGGACTGAGCAATTAGAAATAATACATAAGGATTAATTGAAGATATGGTAATGATATAAAAATGAAATAACACAATTACATAAAAATACAAATAAACATATAAGAAATATAGATATATTAAGATTATTACAAAATAGTATTAGTTTCTAAAAATATATATATAACACAATTATATAAAAATACAAGTAACCACACAAGACATAGAGGTCCATTGTTTAATTTCCAGAATTATCCGCTTTAGCAAAGGGGAAAGTAGTGGGAGGAACCATATTATGTTCCAATCAATCAAATTCAGTTGACCCAGTTGCACAAACCAATCAGAGGGCACTCTTTTTTAAGCAAGGTTGTATGAGTGCGCAACGAGCCAGTGTGGAAGTTAATCAAAGAAGCCTTCAAAATAAGATTTTTTAAATTTGTTAAATTTTATTTAAAATACTAATTTGCGTATTTTAAAATGAGATTCGTGGTCAAAATAGAATATTAAAACCCACCCAGAGTGTATAGCACTGCTTAAAAAGATGAACTAAAAGAACGCGCGATATCTATACGTACAACTGTACTTTATTGTGGAAGTTCTTCTCGGAATATGTAGCTCAAATCCTGGCCGTGTTGACGTTTGTGCCAGCTGCTACACTCAAAACAGCAATGAGGAGGAATTTAGTGAAAATGAACGTTATCGGTAAAGCAGCTCCTTGGAAGTGTTGTGCGGGTCTTTTTCTACTTTGACCGTGACATTATGCTCATTTACAGGCCGACAGCTGCCGGATTTCAGACATCCCGGCGACCGTTCAGCTGTTAAGTCGCTGTTGCATTTATCCACACTGCTTATGTTTGATTTTCACGTGTAAACGGACGTGTCATTATCAGAGCTCGGGGAACTTCGCGTTACCGAGCATGTTTACCGCATCACACGGTGCTTTTTGAAACAGTGGCCGACGTGAAATAGCTAACTAATCGCTTAAGTTGCAACAATGGCCTCGGCGCTGAGTTGCTTCAGTGGTCCGGAGGTGCTGGAGGACGCCAATCACGCTCGGGGTTTGATGGACGGGTTGAAGTTGCTTTACGATTGCCGGCTGCTCGGGGACGTTACTATCGGAGTTGAGTACGAAGATGAGTCTTTGGAGCACAGCGGCAACTCCACCAGAGGTGCCATCGACCAACTTTTCTTCTGCAGCCGCAACGTCCTGGCAGCTGCTAGCCCCTACTTCAAAAGCATGTTCACCGGTGGGTTAAACGAGAGCGTGCAGGAAGCTGTGGTCATCCGTGGGGTCGATCCTGAGTCTATGTCCGTCATCATCGATTACTGCTACACGGGCAGGGTGACCATCACGGAGAGTAACGTGCAGAGGCTGTATGCAGCGGCCAACATGCTCCAGCTGGAGTACATCAGGAAAGCTTGCTCCAGTTTCATGACAAGGAGACTGGACTTGTCTAACTGTGTGGGGGTACTGAAATTTGCTGACACCTATGATAACCCCGAGCTGAAGGAGAATGCGCAAGCTTTCATTGCCAGGAACTTCGGCCTGGTGTGTAATGGGGGGGATCTTTGCGAGCTGGACCTGAAGCAGCTGAAGGAGTTGCTGTCTCTGGACACCCTGGATGTGGATTGTGAGAAGAAGGTGTGCTCGGCTGCTCTGCAGTGGATCGAGGCGAACGCAGCACAGAAAAAAGAGGATGCGCTGCAAGCACTAAAGTGTGTCCGCTGGAACTTGTTCACTGAGAAGGACAAGTGTTACTTGGAGAGCCTCATGGCAAGGCCTTTCATTGAGAAATACCTGGCATCATTTTTTAACAAGTCCCCCGAGGACGGCTGTGTCATGTCTGCTACTCTGGATGTGCCAAAACACCGAATAGGTGTGAGCGCAAAAGAGATGATCCTCTTCTTTGGCCTACCTAATGACAACATAATGTGCTGCGACCCATACTCTGAGGACCTGTACTTCATGGCCCCTCCTTTAGAGGATCTGAGCAGTCAGGATTACAAACGCTCCACCATGGAGTCCTTAATCGCCTGTGCCACCCCTGAAAACAACTTGTACTTGGCGTCCCACCTCTCGAAACACTTCTGGCTTTACAACCCTGTGCTCAACAGCTGGCAGGAGTTGGCAGAGAGGCCACTGGGCAGAATACATTCTGGAATGGGCTACCTCAACGGGCATGTGTACCTTCTGGGAGGAAGAAACCCTGTGACGGATGCCAGACTGAAGGAGGTGGAGTGTTACAGCGTCCAGAGGAACCAGTGGACGTTTGTGGCTCCTCTGCCTCATTCTCTGGGTAAAATGCAGGTGGTAGCCCTACACGACCACTTGTACGTGGTGAACAAAAGGCGAATGCTTTGCTACGATCCCAAGAGGAACCGCTGGCGCCACTGTGGGTCGCTGAGGCGAGACAAGCTTCACAAGGCCTGCGTGTTCCAGGACCAGATCGTCTGTGTGTGCGACATCCCTGTGGTGAAAGCCTACAGCCCCACTAGGGGTGAGTGGAAGAGGCTCGGCGACATTCCCATCGACAGCCGAGCTCTAAATTATCAGGTGATCCAACACAACGGCAAGCTGCTCCTCCTCACTCAGACTTTACTGCAGCACAACAAGAACAGAGTCCTCATCCACGAGTACGACCCGGCCAGGGACACGTGGAAGAATATCATGGCGGTGTACGTGTCCACGCTGGGGCCCGTATGTGTTTCAACGCGTGTTTACCCAGCGTGCCTTAGCTCTGCCCACAGCTTCTCCACAGAGGAGGACGATGACAGTGGCTCCAGTGCAGACTGGGATTTTGACGGGCTGACAGATGCAGATTCAGACTCTGGCAGCTCTAGCTCATTCTCTGATGAGAACTGGTAGTGAAGTGTGTTGCAGTGTCAAAATTAATTAAATTATTGGGTTTTTACAGGTTGGTTTTGTCTAACGGGGAGCATTGAAGTATTTATTCAGTGTTAAAACAGTCAAGAGAAGCACAGGTTGTTTAAAAAAAATATTTTCATACGTCTGATCACTAATGTTAATATTGGGACGCATAAAACCAGAGAAAATGTTTACTGTGCCTCTTTCACAGCATTTCTGCTGGGCAAATACAGGGGTTACTAATTGGGAATAATTGCAATAATTGCTGGAACTGAGCCTTCACTTAACACTGTTACTTCCAACCTTGCTTTTCCTGGTTCAAAAATGTCGGAGAATCTGTGGGACTACACTTGATCCATGTGGAAACAGAGTGTCAGTGAAAGTGCAAGTGAAACAAAAGTTTAAGGAGTAGAAAAGGGGGGAAAAAAAAAAGATGGATTAGCAGTAGTGCTTTGCGTCTTTTGCGTGCAACACCTAAAGGTTTCACATGGATGCCACATCTGTAATGCTTTCGTCACATGCTTCCTGAGGCCCTTCTCTCCTAGCTTGTAGAGCCTGTGAGAGATTTGTCCACGCCAAACTCGAGCTGAGATATTCGAGTGATGTCGCTTGACAAAGCTGTACCAGAGAGCTACAGAAGAACCTAAAGCTCTACGAATGTGCCCACTAGTACTCCTGAGTGGAGAGCCGCTGTTAAACTTTAACATTATGTTACATGAAGAGTTATTTGGGCAAGCCTTTTCTCTTTAGAGTGAATAAATGAGCATGCAAGCTTAAGGTCAGCGTGAAATCATTGCTTGAGTGTTTGTCATATCAGACATCTCAAGTGCCTCTTGTTTATGACTATGAACGAACTGGTTATGAACTGGGCTTTAAAATTTATGGTCCTTTTTATGTAGTTGATGCACACAGCGACATCACACACACACGGGCGGTGCTCCAAAAACTGCTGCGTGAAGTCTAGGAGCCAATGTACTGTACACTCTCTCAGGTTTAGTCCATTTGCGATGACAGAGGTTCCTTTTTAGATGTAGTGCGATCACAATGTTTTGGTGACAAATGATTTTGTTTGAAATCACAGAGTGTATGTGTGTGTTTTCTTATCTATACTTTATTTTTAATGTGTGTTTTGCAACAGTTTTTTTGGGGGGGGAGGGGTTTTGAGTATTGCTTGGGTGTGATGATTTATCTGCTTGCCAGAAGACTGCAGAGAAGCCATTGTCCCAGCCAAGCAACCCCTACGCTATTTGCACTTACTGAGATAAATGGTGGAGATAAAATATTACATATCCTCATCAGCAGAATAATGAATCACACAAAAACAATGACCATAAAGTTGAGTCAGCACCTCTGAAAACACTGAAGAGTATAATCATGAGTGACTCTTAGTCAGGGGTTTTTATCAAGCAGTTTTGGGAGTAAAGGGGGAGGAACTGTGGGTAATGACATGCAGCGAAGGCATGGTAGAAATAGAGCTGCTGGTTCCAGAGCTGGGTTTACAAAATAAACTGTTAAAATAGTGGAGTCCCGACTGTCTCTCTGATGAATAATGAAGTTTCTTGAAGTAGATGGAGTGCTTGGCTGTGGATTATAAAGCTGTTTTTGGTAAATGTGTCAAATAAACATCAGTGTATGCTGCAGAGCTACAAGTGTGTGTAGTGCTGAGTTTTACAGAAGTCGTATTTATTGCCACTGCATGGTGAAACTGGAAGGTTAGGGTTCTGAAGAGTGGTCTTGTGAGTATTGTGAGTTTAATATGGTGCAAAACAGAAACATGGTTCTAATTCTAGGAGGATTGAGTTTTAATAGAAAAATGTGTCATTAATGAAACTATTGGTAATACTTTTTTCTTTTTTATGAGACATTCATGATGTGTTGACTGATTGAATTGCTACAGAAAAGCAGAATGATTTTTTTTTTTTTTAAAAATAAAAAATCTTATGTTTGTATTTATTTGAGACTGTCTCTGTTTAATGGATTTCCATTGTTAGATGTTCTCTTTGTTTCTTTTTTG